ATGATGATGATGATGATGATGATGATGATGATGATGATGATGATGATAATGATAATGATGATACTCCTCTCACAGCCCATCCACCATCCATGTCATGGGAGTAGGGGATGTTGCAAGTAGGGACATGAGAAAAATAAGGAAATTCTAGCCAGGGAAAGGAATAGCAGAGACTTTGTATGTCCTTACTCATGACAGTGGCTATAAAAGCCTGGCAGGAACCCTGAAACATGATCCAATTGGGCTCTGGTAATACCACTGAATGAGTAAAGCATTCCAGTCAGTGTGATGCCACTGTTCCTATGAATATAATACATAGATGGACCAGCATAATATGCTGGTGCTATTCAAAACCATTGTGATGAGCAATTTGAGATGGAGGACAACATTTGAGATGAGAGACTCCGTTCGTGTTCTGGTATCACAAAGAAGTGACATATATTGGAACAAGTCAGAAATGTCAATGCCCTTTTTGGTGGAAATGCTTCAGTGCAGATAGTACTAACCATGAAGGCAACCCAATTACAAGGATAAGGTAGACTAAGGACATTATACTTTCTTGTTTTGAAAAATAAAATTTTATTGAAACCTTTTGTTTTATATCACCAACATTTCCCAGTACAGACCTTTTCTTACCCCTCCCTAAGAGTCAGCCTTTATAACAAAGAATAAAAAAGGAATGAAAAAATTTCAGAAAACCCATCAACATATCAAAAACATCTAATGTTATTTTTAATGATAGACACCCATAGTCCCCCACCACTGCAATAAAGGGACAGAAGTGCTTCCTCATATTTCTTCTCTGGAGCTAAACTTAATTATTATACAGCTAAGTCATAATTAATGCCAGCTCAAATAAGTGAAATTCTATTTAGTGCAAATTATAGAATGATACCAAGTCACATTTAATGCAAATCAAAATTCAACTAAGGTGACTTGTGTGAGCTCAATGGTTTTAACATGACACTACTTTGTCAATTTAGGGGCAGCAAGGAGGCACAGGGGATAAGGTGCCAGGCCTGGAATCAGAAAGACCTAGATTCAAATCTGGCTTCAGACACTTACTAGTTATGTGATACCAGGTAAGTCATTTAACCCTGTTTGCCTCAGTTTCCTCATCTGTAAAATGAACTAGAAAAGGAAATGACAGACCACTCCAGTATCTTTGCCAAGAAAACTCCAAATAGGGTCACAAAGAGTTGGACATGAATGAAAATGGCTCAACAACAACTTTGTCAATATGCACTTGCCTATTGTCACATGTGGATGTGATGCACTGCTGTGTACTATATTCTCAAAACTTGTGTTATTTTTTTAAAAAGAGCTCTTAACAAAATGGTAGAGAAGACCATCCAGTTTATGCTGCTAAAATATTTTAAATAACAATAAAAGTGTTTTCATCATACCATCAGTGTAGGCTTATCTTTAGGTACAATATTTAGTCATTTAAATTTTTTTAAAAATCTTTAAATTTTGCTTTCTCTTGAATCAGAAATATTTTTCTTATCTTTTGCTGTTTTAGTATGTTAATAAACATTAAAAACCTATTTAATTTTTTCCACTGCATATTACCATTGGACTGGAACCAATGACCACATTTTACATATAATTATAACTTCAAATAGTGCAAATTTGAATAATACACCCACTTCATGGAGATTCATAACTCCCACAAATCAGGACCCACCTGTAATTTCACAGCATTCAACCTTGCTTGTTTCATTATTCTTTCCATTTACATTCTTCTTGTCATTATGTACATACATTTATATAGCACTTTAAGGTTTTCAAAGTACTTTTATATACATTATCTCGTTTGATCTCCACCACAGTCTTGTGATGTTGGATCTATTATTATAATTCACTTCACAGATGAAGAAACAGGTTCACAGAGGTTAAATAACTTGCCCAAGTTCACATAGCAGGTAAGTATCTGAGGTAGCATTTAAAATCAGGTCTTCTCAATGCTATATCCAACACTTTATCTACTACCCCACACTGTCACTAAATTCCAAAGGAAACAACAAATATGGAATCATTTTTGAAAAATATAAAGTGCCGTAAACAAAGTGGAATAGGCTTTCTCCAGAGGCACCTGAGCTGCCCATGCTAGGAATCTCCGGGTTCAAACAGAATCTGCAGTATTGCTTGTCTGGGTGACTCTAGAAAGGATTTCATTACTATTTGGATCAAAGGGACATGATGACCTCGGGGGTTCCTTCCAGCTCTGGGTTTCTGTCATTCTGCAGTTCAGATTTAAGGTGGTACTTACTGATGACTAGGGAGGACTCTTCTCCCCTCTGGGCTCATAAGAAGTTATTGTCAAGCCTTTCCCAGATAGACACTGGGATAGAAATCAACATGGCCAACTCGAAATCCTTGTGTCACCCAGGAAAAACTCTTGGTTGTAATTACCTGGAAGAACTTGTCCTGCAGGCTGGGAAGGAGGTTGTGGTTACCATGGGACATACCTTGTGTACACAAAGCAAGACTTACCCAGGAGCAGGAAGTACTCCAAGAAGGTGGAAAAGAAAAACAGCAGAGGGCATCTCACCTGCTTAGAGCCAAATGATCTCATCTGGATCATCCTTCTTTCCAGGTAAGTTCTCAATATCTCAGAATATTAGTAATAACTTACATTTCTATAGGGTTTTAAGATTTACAGAGCAGCATGTTCCTTACATCAACCCTGCAGACTAAGCAGACTATTGTTATTCCCATTTTATAGATAAAAAGACAAAGATCAGAGGGATTAATTGACCAAGGCAACATGAATAGTAAATTTAGGAGCCAGAAGTTGAGCTTACGTCTCTCAATTCTCAGTCCAATATTCTGTCCACTGCCTAATTTGATATTTCAACAGATCTTTAATCTCATCTGTGTGGGTTTTCCCTCCACTGGTACAGATCAAAATCCATTCATGCCTTTTTATCTTCCATGACTCTTGTCCATGGACTCCAATAAATCCTCCATTGGAGACCCACCCAACATGCTGGGGGTTTCTAGATCCTTTTGATATTTTGTGGAACCAATGCAACACTCATGCTGTCCATTTGTAATCCCATTAATTTATTTAGTCACTAGCTCACTATGCTAAAAGACCCTGGCAAGGAACTGCTTTGAAGCAGTAATACATTTAATCAGGAAAGAAATTAATAGTAATGTAACAGAAAACATTTTCCAGGTGTCCAGAGAAAAATAGCCCCTTTCTTTTTCTTAATATTTAAATTTTTATTTTGAATTCCACTGTTATCAACAAACATTTCACTATACAAAGAAAATTAAGAAACAGGATTTTGCTTTTTTAAAAATAGTGAACTTCCATTATGTAGAACTTGTTTTTTAAAAAGTATCTTTTTAAAAAAGTATCTTTGTTACAATGTTGTTGGTTTGTTTATATATTATGTATCTCAGTATATAATATAAATATATTATATTTTATAGAAAAGCATTTCTTTTGTGTTAAATGTTTATTTTTTATTAGAATGTATAGTATGTGAATATATTGGTATTACATAAGTTATGTGTTATATAATATTTATATAGTATATTATATATTTATATATAAATATATATATATCAATAAGATTGTAACAAAGGTACTTCTTTAAAAACAAGTTCTATATAACAGAAATTCACAATTTTAAAATAAAATCCACTTTCTTGCTTTTCTTTGTATTGATTCATATATATGTATATATCACACATATAAAAACAACCTTGGATGAAAGTGATACTTACAAATACTTTGGCATATATATGCACACATATGTATCATATGCATAAATATAGAATATGTGTATGCACATATATATTTCTTTAAACATACATATACATAAATGTATATTTATGTATATATGTATGTATGCATGTGTATGTGCATACAGTATAAGAACACTTCTCTATTTGTTCCCTTCTGCATTTTTTGGTTTTCTTTTAGGCATTAAAAAAATGTTTTGTTAGTCCTCTTTTGGGAGGAAATGATCACCACCCACTAACCTACCACCCAGTCCACCTTAAAAAGAAGCCTTCCCTTGTAGCAAATATGAACAGTCCAGCAAATCAAATCAAATTCTGACCATGTCTGAGAATGAATACCTCGTCTTATATCCTTAGTCGTTTATCTCTGTCAAGAGGTTGGAGATATTTCATCATCAGTCCTTCGAAGTTATAATTGTTCATTGCTTTGATCAGAGTTATTGGGTCTTTCAAAGTAATTTTCCTTCATATTATTGCTGTCATCATGTATATTTTTCTCCTGGTTAGGTTCATTTCATCATACATCAGTTCATAGTCTTACCATGTTTCTCTGAAACTGACATGTTTTTCATTTATGTGTCAATAACATTACATTAAATTCATATACCACAGTTTATTTAGCAATTCCCAATTGATGAACACTAATTTTTTCCCCAGTTCTTTGCTATTATAAAAAGTGTCAGTATAAATATTATTGTACATATGGGCCCTTTCTTTCTATCAATGATTTGCTTGGAATGTATGTGTGATAGTAGTACTGCTGAAACAAGGGTACATATAGATAGTGACTTTTTGGATGTAGTCCCAAATTGTTTTCCAGAACAGTTGAACCAATTCACAGCTATACTAACTGTGTACTAATGTGCCTGCCCTCTCATAACCCATCCAACAATTTCCATTTTTCACTTTAATCATAGTGGATACGAGGTAGTTTTCCAAATTGTACTTCTCTAATTATTAATTTGGACAATTTTTCATATGGTTATTAATACTTTTTATTTCCTCATTTGAGAGTTGAACATTCAACATTTTTTTAAACCACTTATCTCTTGAGGAATGGCTCTTGTTCTTATAAGATTGCTTTAATTCTTTACATATCTTGGGTATTTGACCTATATTAGAGAAAATTTTTAAAGATTTTCCCCAATTGTTTTTCTTTTCATTCTAACTATATTTATTTTACTTCTGCTGAAGCTCTTCACTTTTATGTAATTGAAATAATTCACTTTATCCACTTCTTTCTATAGATAAGCTTTTTCCCCCCTAGCCATAATTATGAAAGCAATCTCCTTCCCTTCTCCTCTTATTCTTTTATGGTATGAGCTTTTATTGTTAGGTATTTGGAATTGGTCACAAATTTTGTACAATTTTGGCTAAATGTACTTCCTGCAATAGTACAGTTTTCTTAGTATTTTTTTTTGTCAGAGTGTCCTATTCTAAATGTTAGTATCCTTAGATTTCTCAAAAATCATTATACTTTGATTATTTCAGTGAAATAGCAGGATACAAAATAAACACACAAAGTCATCAGCATTTCTGTGTTCAGCATTTCTGTGTTTACTTTGTAGCCTGCTATTTCACTGAAGTTACTAATTCTTTCAAAAATTTTGGTTGGGGGCAGTTAGATGGTGCAGTGGATAGAGTATTGACCCTGGAGTCAGGAGGACCTGAGTTCAAATCTGGCCTCAGACACATGATACTCACTAGCTGTGTGACTCTGGGCAAACCACTTAACCCCAATTGCCTCGACAGAGAAAAAAGCAAAAACAAATAAAAAAAATTGCCAGTGATCCTTTAAAAAAAAAATTGGTTGAATCCCTAGAACTAGGTAAATTATATCACATAGAAAAGTGATGATTTTGTTTCTTCTTTGCCTATACTTATTCTCTCAATTTCTTTTTTTATTGATATAGCTAGAATTTCTAAAACAATATTAAATACTAGTGATGAAAATGAACACATTTACTTTACTCCTAATCTTACTGGAAAGGCCTCTGGTGTTTCTCCATTATAAGTAATGCTAGTTCTTGGTTTCTGAAAAATGACAAAGAAAAGGTTCATTTATTCCTATTGCTTTCTAGTTTTTTCCCCCTTGCAAAATGAACATCATGTTTTGTCAAAATCTTCTGCGTCTATTAACATAATCATATGATTTTTTAGCATGCTATGATCTATTATGTTAATAGCTTTCCTAATATTGAGCCAACCTTGCATTCCTGGTATAAATCTAACCTGGTTATAATGAATAATCTTTTGGATATTTTGTTGTAGCCTCTTTGCTATTATTTTGTTCATTATTTTTTGCATCAACCATTATTAGAGATATAACTCTGTAGTTCCACATATCCCTGGTCTAACTATTAAGGCCATTTTTATTTCAAAGAAGGATTTCTTTAGATATCAGTAGGATACCTTCTTTTTGTATTTTTATAAATGATTTATGTAGAATTAGAGTTAGTTTTCTTTGATAAAATTTGATAGAATTAATTTTAAATCCACCTTTGCCTACGGTATTTTTTTCCCATTTGGAAATTCATCTATGACTTTTTCTTTTCTTTCCTCCAAGATAAGATTGTTTAATTTGTGTATTTCTTGTTCTGTTGACCTGCAGAGTTTAAATTTTATAAGTATTCATTTATTCCATTGAAGTTATTTATTTTTACCATGTGATTTTACAAAATGCTTCTAATAATTTCTTTTAATCTTTTGTGATTTCTTGTTTTCTATTTTGGTAATTTGTTTTTCCTCTTTTAAAAACTAAAATTAACTAATGCTTTGTCTTTTATAAGTCTTTTCAAAAATTCAACTTTTACTTTTATTTATTAATTCAATGAGTTTCTTTTTCTTCAATTTTGTTTATTTTTTCTTTGATTTCCAGAATTTCTATTTTTGGGTTTTTTTTTTTTACAGGTTGGTTGTTTTTTTTAATTGTTGCTTTTTTAGGTTTTTCTAATTGCAGGCCTAATTCAGTGATTTCTTGTATTTCCTATTTGCTGTTGAATGCAGTTAGAGATGGAAAATTCTGCTTTGGCTCTATCCTGAAGTTTTGATATATAGTCTCATTGTTACCATTTTCTCTGATACAAATATATGTTATTTATATGATTTCATCCACACATTCTTTTGGGCTAAATTATTTGGTTTCCACTTAATTCTGAATCCTTTCTTCAAATTCTCCTGATTTGTAATTTTACTGTGTTGTAATCAGTAAAGAATGTATTTAACAGTTCTGCTTTTGTTTATTTGCTTATCATATTTTTCTGCTCTAGCACAGCATTAATTTTTATAAAGGGGCCATACAAAACTGAAAAATACATATATTCCTTATGATTCTCACTCAATAATTCTCCAATATCTATGAAGTCTAATATTCCTAAAATTCTTCTTAAATTATTTCTTGTTTATCTTTTTGTTAGAGCTGTCTAGGTCTGAAATGGTAGCATGGAATTATCTGACAATTTTTATTGTTTGTCTGTATATATCTCTCTGTAGTTAAAGTATAAGACATTGATGGAGGCTCATGGGCTAATTTAAGAGTAGACCCAAAGAACAGTCCCCCACCAGGCTACTTTTTCAACTTGTACTCATAGGTTGAGTTCCCCAGAGAACAACTTCCCTAGATACGATCATGACTTCAAGCATTAGCATGATTTTATTAGTAACCTTATTTTTCACTTTCGTGTTGGCAACCATGCACATTTGCAGCTATACACAGTAGAGAAAAAATGAGAGGCGAGATGTGGGCAAGTTTGTGGAGCAGCTGATATCCTATTAGACTCTTCACTGGTCTTGTTCACCTTACTGTTGTGGAGTAAAGAGCTCCCTATGCATTTGTTATAT